CCTCATGAAGTCATTCCTGGGAGCATGGGGGGGATGCTTGGTAGCCCTGGAAGGAACCAGTCCTGGCTTCCTTCTCCAGACCCAGAGAAGCTGGGGCCCCAACCAAGAACGTCCTCAGCCAAGGCCCTCTGTCTGGCTCTCTGCCCAACTTTCTCCTGGCTTTCTACCAGGGCGGTGGAGGCGGGGCCGTGTGAGTGGGTATGTGAACAGGTATGTGAGGAGCATGACCTGGTGAGTGATCAGACGAACTGTGGTCCACTCGTACCTTGGAGTACTCCTCAGCAATAGAAAGGAATGAAGCCCTGACACAAGCAACATGCCCAAACCTCAACACCAAACCCAGCCACTGTATGTTTGCACCTGCTATGCCATCTGCCTGCAAAGCTTCTTCCCTTACCCACCAACCCCCCCCACCCCTTTACCTGGCTAAACTCCCCCTCCACCTTTACAGCCAGACTCAAAAGACTAGGTATTGTGTGACGTGTATGAAATTCCAGAAAAGGCAAAAGGATAGTGACAGAAAGCAGATGGAGGGTGGCCGGGGGTATGCCAAAGTGTAAGGATGGGAATGGAGCACAAAGGAGCAAGAGGGAAATTCTGGGGGTGATGGAAATGTTCCGTATCTTGATTGTGGTGTCGCTTACATGACTATATTCATTTATATACAAATTGCATGCTTTTTTTTTTTTGAGAGAGAGAGAGTGCGCGCATGCACGCACACGAGCAGAGGAAGGGTAGAGGGAGAAAGAGAGAGAGAGAGAGAGAGAGAGAGAGAGAGAGAGAGAGAGAGAAAGAGAAAGGGAGAGAGAATCCCAAGAAAGTTCCACACTCAGTGCAGAGCCCAATGTGGGGCTCGATCCCACGGCCCTGTGAGCATGACCTGAGCTGAAATCCAGAGTCGGACGCTCAACGGACTGAGCCACGCAGGCGCCCCCAAGTTATATGCATTTGTATACATTTGTACACTCACCCAGTTGCAGGCTTATCATCAGTGAATTTCGTTGTGTGGAAATCACGTTGCCAGAAAGGGAAACAATTACAGTAAAAAAACCCACGAGCAAGTAGAAAACGAATCCTCCTGGAAGAACATGAGACTGAAAAGGAAACAAGCAAAACCCTCTGCTAAGTTCAATTCTTCTCTGCAGAAGCAACAATGTATTCATTCATGAAATCACTCAACTAATATTTAGTGACTATCTACCATGTGCCAAGCACCAGGGCAGTTACCCTTTTTTAAAAATTTTTTAAAATGTTTATTTTATTTTTAAGAGAGAGAGAGAGAGCGCTAGTAGGGGAGGGGCAGAGAGAGAAGGAGACACAGAATCCGAAGCAGGCTCCAGGCTCCGGGCTGTCAGTACAGAGCCCAACGCGGGGCTCGAACTCACGAACCACAAGATCGTGACCTGAGCCGAAGTCGGAAACTTAACCGACTGAGCCACCAAGGTGCCCCTCCCTCATACTTTTTAAAGGCTGTATGAGGGTCCACTGAAGGGATGAACCAAATTTATTAAACCTGTTCTTTTTTTTAAGATTTTATTTTTAAGTAGTCTCTACACCCAACATGGGGCTCGAACTCACAACCCTGAGATCAAGAGTCACACGCTCTACCAACTGAGCCAGCCAGGCACCCCCAAACCTGTCCTTTCTTGATGGATGTTATAGTAGGTTCTGTGTTTCATTTTGTATCATCCACAGCACTGTAGTGAACATCCTTGTACAAGAAAGTGGCCTTATTCACAGGGCAAATTCCTGGGGGTCAAAGAATCTTTGCACTTCAAAGCGTGAAAAAAATCAAAATTTAAATCTCTCAGGTCAGCCCTCTACTTGACATTTAGATGTGTTTCCACTCCTTTTAGACAATGAACCTGTGCTGACAGCACAGAGCCTGCTTGGGATTCTCTCTTTCTCCCTCGCTGCTCCTCCTCCACTCGTGCTTTCTTGCTTTCTCTCAAAATAAACACTAAAAAGAAAGAAAGAAAACGAACCCACATCCCCACTTGTACCGCCAAGCTGCACAGTTCTGCCCTTATCAATTCCTCTAGGTTCATCTCACTCTGTGCTCTAGCTACAGTGATCTCTCTCCCCCCACCACAGGGCCTTTGCACCTGCTATGCCAGCTACCTGCAAAAGTTCCTCCCTCCCCCTTGTCTCCTTCACCCTGCTAAACTCTCCTTTATCCTTCAGACTTCATCCTACAAGAAGCACTACTTCCTCCAGGGAGCCTTCCCTGATCACTCTGATGGGGCATGTCCCTGTAACAGCTCTCAGAGACTCTGTTTCTGACTCTGTTGCTTCCCTTCAAAGCACTGATATTCACTGATGAAGAAATTCGTGTTTGTAGGACTCTGTGAATAATGCCTGTCTCCCTACTAGACTATAAGCTCCATAGGGCAGGTCTTGGGTTGGACCCTGGGACAAGGATTGGCATGCAAGGGATTGTTTAAGGAAGTGATCTCACGGGAGATGAGTAAGGGAGTGGGGGGAGCAGGACAGGGGACAGGAGAAAGCCAAGGAGGGTGCCATCTTAGGCAAAGCCCCATGGAGGGTGGCTTCAGCCCGATCTCACACAGGAGCTTGGGAGTGTGAGTTACGCCACACAGTTATCGGGACCTGAGTCAAGGGAGCTGGCCCGTCACCCACTGCCAGCCATTGACTAAGAACCGCCCCAGCCTGGGGGTGAGGGGGTTCTAACCCCCTGGCTCTCTGCGCGTGCCAGAAAAGTGGCTCCGGCAGCTGGAGGATGGTTCTCTAAAGGAGTCACAAACGTAGGCAAATGGAAGGAAAGCACACAGAAGCTGGTGGAGGGGCACACAGAAATGGCCAAAGGGACCCTAGGGGGATCTGAGCGGGGCACTAATTGTACCCGCTGCAGGCGATGTCTATCTTCTTCTCTACCCCAGGCACCTAGTCCAGTGCTTGGCACAGAACGTGCCCTCAAGAAAGACTTGGTCAGTAAGTGAACGAGCCCCGGAATGAACGTGAGCGGAGGGAGAGCCTTTAGCCAGAAGGAATCACATAAACGAAGGCCCAGGAGTGGAACTAGGAACCAACCGTTCAATTGTTAGAAGCCATGCGAGCCAGTTGTCAAAACAGTATTTCTGACACCAACTGCTGGTGGTAATCCGATCCAGGTCTGACGCTCCACCACCCGGAGTTAGCGTCAGACCCGATGGGTGAAGGGGCATGTATCCCAACAAGACCGCAAGGTCACGACCAAATGGGTGCAGATTCGGGGAGTCTCGAAACTCCCTTCAGCGTTGAGACTTTGCTGGAGCAGATGGTAGACAGAGCTCAGAAAAGCACTATACTCAAGATTACAATTTTATTATAAAGGATGAAATCAGGATCAGCCTAAGGAAGGGTGAGGTCCGGGAGGGCCCCAAACTCAGAGCTTCCGCGCCCTCTCCCCATGGAATCTGGGCTCAACACCCTCCTGGCGCATCAATGTGTTTAGCAACCAGGAAGCTGTACTGAGCTGCAGCGTCCAGAGTTTTTATGGGGGTCCTGTTACCTAGGCAGGGTTGATTGAATCATTGGCCATGTGATTGAGCTCAAGCTCCAGGCCTCCCCCTGCCCCTTTGGAGAAGAGGTCCTGAAAGCCCCAGCCTTCTAATCACATGGTCGGTCTTTTCTGGTGACCGGCCCCATCCTGAGTCACCCCATCTCTTAGCATCAACTCCGGTGTGATCCCAGGGGCTCACAAATAACACATTCTCCCCATCACTTCAGAAAGTCCAAGGATTCAGTCTTCCTCTCAGGAACCAGGGACAAAGTTCAGCCACTTTTTTTTTTTTTTTTTACACAACACACAGTGATTACTGACATTTAAATTATATAAACTTACAGCTAAGTCAATCATATTATAACTAGTAAATACTCAAAACTCATCATTTCTTTTCTTTTTTTTTTTTTTAATTTTAGAGAGGGGGAGAGAGAGCGTGCATGAGTGGGGGAGAAGGACAAAGGGAGAGAGAGAGAGAGACAGAGAGAGGATCTTAAGCAGGTTCCATGGTCAGCACAGAGCCTGACGTGGGGCTCAGTCCCACAACCGTGGTATCATGACCTGAGCTGAAATCAAGAATTGGACACGCGACCGACTGAGCCACTCAGGTGCCCCCTTAATGCTTTAACTACATTGTGCTACTTGTATGCACTTGAAGTCATCTTTATAACGGAAATGCTATACAGTGGAACCTGTGCGTCTCTCCCCAAGCCCACGTTCACCAACATGTTGGTAGGTTTGAAATCACAGTATCTGACCGTCGGCAGATAATTGATAAATGGCAAATGTTATCAATGGGGCCTTAACTTACCCGTAGGTTGCTCGTCTACCCTTAGGAAGTGGCTTAGTCAGTTGATCGTCCCACCTCAGCTCAGGTCGTGATCTCAAGGTCTGTGGGCTTGAGCCTGGCGTGGGCTCCGTGTTGACAGTGTGGAGGCTGCTCCGAATCCCCTCTCTCTTTCTCTGCCCCTCCCCTACTCACGCGCGCGCGCGCACACACACTCTCTCAAAATAAATAAATAAACTTAAAAAGGACAGGAAGTAATGGAGACAATGTTAACGCAGATGAAAAAAAGTGCGTTCTGTTTATAGCCATGAGCTGGGAATAGCGCAAAGAAACTGAAGAGATATTCTTCCAGTATTCAGAAACCATTAGGCAATTGAGCGAAGAAGCTGCTCACGTCACCGACATGGGAGTGAAGTTTTGATGTCCACCTTCACTGTCCCACTTTCAGCCTGCCCACTCGCACTTACGTGAAAATAGCAACCAAGATTCAAGGCTGAGCTACCCTTTGTTCAACACGTCCAACTATAGGCTGGCTATTGATGCCAGAGTTTGGCAAAAATCAATGAAAAGCGTTTTACGAGGATCAATTCGTTCTAGGAATTTACAGTAAAGACAAGTGTATATTTTGCTATTATTTTAAAATTGCGTGCCACATGTCAATATCAATACACTATGTATCAGTGAAAATGATAATTAGGCACATACACGCACCTATCATGCAGACCGGTTTCTCTCCAGACAGCTGGGACTAAGCTTCTGTGATCCGCAGGCCGGATGGAGAGGAAGGGCCAGCACACCTGAGGAGCTGAGTTTGGAGATGAGGCCCGGTGCAGACAGAGCAGGAGCCTGAATGCCAAGGTCAGAGAGGGAGACAACCTAGTCTAAGTCACACAGCCAGGAAGTGGCAGGGCTGGGTTAATCCGAGGGTTATAGTGGGGACCTCCCTCTGTCCTGGGTCCTCTGCGTTCCCCTCCCACCCAGGGCTCCAGCTCACGTATCTCAGGGGCAAACCTGGGGTGGCTTGGGCGTGCCAGGTTAACCTGGCCCAGCCTGGGAATCCCACAAACAGAGCCATTTGTCAGGTCTCTCGTGTGCCAATTAGCAGGGCACGAGCCCGATTAGTCCCTGTGGCATGGCGGATTGGGGGGAATTAATCAGGCCAGAGGCGGCGGCAGGGAGGGGGAGGATAGGAAGGGGAGTGGAAACGGGGGGGCTGAAGGACCCGGGTGGATCATTCCTTACAAGTGGCCACCCAGCCAGTGGGAGGAGCAGCCATAGCTCCTGGGAGACGCCAGTGGAGGGAGTCATTCTGGGAGATCAGGAGGGCCTGCCCACCCTTCCCTAGAAAGACAGTACTAGTTTTGGGATCCAGGTGGCTCAGGGAATGACCACAGACGGGGCCCTGCCTTCCACACCTGGATTTCAGAAGGTGGGGGGTGGGGGAAGAGAGGGGCTAAGTGGGGTAGGAGGGGATGTTCTAGTCCCATCTCCCCTCCTCACTAGCCCCAGCTTCTCTGGGAGAATGTCAGGAACTGTCTCTCACCTGCTGAAGCTGGGCTGGCTGTTCCTGGCACGTAGAGCCCTGGGGACCCTACCTGGAAAGTGTCATCTTAGAAGCTGGGTTCTCAGCCCCTGCCAGTGTGCTTGCCTTTGATTTATTTTTTAAGTTTATTTATTTATTTTGAGAGAGACAGAGACAGCGGGAGTGAGGGAGGGGCAGAGAAAGAGAGAGAATCCCAAGCAGGCTCCACACTGTCAGACTCCACACAGCCCGATGCAGGGCTCAAACTCATGAACCATGAGATCATGACTCGAGCTGAAACCAAGAGTTGGACGCTTAACTGATCGATTGAGCCACCTGGGGGCCCCTGTGCTTGCCTTTTAAAATGTGTTTCCACTGAGAGTTCAGGAAGCCTATGTGGAGGCTTTGTTGACATTAGGAAAAGGCATCCCATTCGGGCAGACCAATTAGGAAAAATCACCCTTTTGGGTACAGCAATTACCAAAAGGCTGCATTTTCTCTAGGCTCTTGAAGGCTCTTGGTATAAGCCTCAGCTAGGGGACATCAAGCTGAATTTCAGATACATTTGACCTCCAATCCCACCGCCTCAACCAGGTGCCTGTGGGTAGAGTACAGCTGGACAAGGGTATACTGCAGCCCTGTTCCCACCTTTGCACCCCCAGGGACTGCCTCGGTCCCCTGCGACACCACGGAAAGAGCAGGGACTCCGTAATCAGCTAGCACTGGATCCGAACCCCTGCACTGCCGCTAGCTCTGTGTGTGCCCTTCCCCTCCCGTTTCGGGACCTCTGTTTCCACATCTCTAAAATGGGAATGGTAACAGCTCTTCTGTCCCAGGGCTTGCGGATGATTGAAGGAGATGACGTGTGGGGCCCCTCAGGAGGTCTCCGTACATATTTGGGCCTGGATTCCCTGGCAGCAGTCCAGATCCTGGCCTGCACCTTCCTGAGATCCAGGTCTGCCCATCTCTCTCCCTGTGGCAGAGGAAGAACCGGACTGGGGTCCGATGACTAGTGAGCCTGGTGGATGGCCTGAGGACTGGGCCTGAAGACTGGGTCTGGGGCAGCATGTGACAGGAGTCAAGACCCAGCCCTCAGAGTCCTTGGCTTTTTGGGGGTCATGGACCCCTTTGGGCATTTGCTAGAAGCTATGGACTCCCTACCCAGAAAAAAGTTCATCTGCACACACACAGTTTTGTGTATTATTCAAGGGGTTCCAGAACACAGTAAAACCTATCCGTGGGCCCCAAAAAACTCCCACCCTACAAGCAGAGGCTCTGCTCTCCCACCTCCAGAGGGGGCATCAGGGCACTGGATTCTTCCACAGGACAAGAAGAGAAGAAGGAAGGAAGGAAATTGGCATCTAATGAGCTGACTTTACATGTATTAGCTCATCTAAGGCTCTTGGCAATCCTGAGATATAGTAACTAGTCCCTTATGACAGATGAATAACCTGAGACTCGAAGAGTCTAAAAGACTTGTCCAAGATCACACAGCTGGTGACAGGGCCAGGACTTGCATCTTTGTTGTCTGATTTCAAAGTGATTCCGCTACTAGTCGAGGCAGAGGCTTTTTCCTCATGGGCCAATGCCCAGCTTACAGAAAGAAGGGAGTCAAGGCCT